AGAGAGAGAGAGAGAGAGACAGAGAGAGACAGAGAGAGACAGAGAGACAGAGAGAGAGACAGAGAGACAGAGAGACAGAGGGAGAGAGAGCGAGCGTGTGTGAGACATCTTTCAGTGGGCCCACCAGAATGGACACTAACAGAACCAATTCTTTCTCCTTCCCCTCCCCCCACTTAAAAACCACTGCCATGACATTATAATACACAGAGTACAATAAAAGTTGATAAAACATTTCAGGTCTAAATTCTCTTAATAATAAGATAAATAAATAGATTCCTTATAGAGGATCTTAAACCATCGGGGTTTCCTTTGCCTTGATTTCCTTCATTTTATTGCCTTTCAGAATAGATATTTCCCTGAAAGATCGGGTTTACAATCTTCTGCTGAATTGAGACATGAGAAGCTGTGATTGATGAAGTACCAGCGAGGCGGTTTGTACAGCTGCACAGGTACAGATAGATACAGGGTACCCGCGCACACGCTTGGCCCTTCTCTCCTACATCACTCCCAGGCCCCCTACCCCAGGCCAGCTTGGTTCCCTCTCTCTTGGTCACCATTGATTCCGATGAGATGGTGTGATTTCTGAGACTTAGAAATAAAGCGCTCTGTCTGCTTGTAAAAAATAACCGTTTGGGGGGCAAATAAAGGGAATCGGAGACGAGAGCCCTCGTTTCTTTCACGTGGAAGACGGTTAAGTCTCTAAGGATCACCCTGTGTGACACTGGGTTTCTGAAATACCCTATGTTTTATATTGCTGAGTTCTAGGGACACACTAGCTTGAAAGAACCGAGGAGGGTGAGTGACCTACAGGTGTCTTTTTTTCTACACGGGTGGGTTTGCTTGTCCCAGAAAAGAAAGGGTTTGGATGTCTGCATGAGGCTTCAGGACAGGGGAGCGAAGCTCGGTGGAGAAGGTGGGCAAAGTGGTCCAGGAAGCGGGGTGGCTTGGGGAACGGCTCCTGCGAGGTGGACAACTACGCCACCACGGTGGCGGTCACTGAGCTCAGAGACGGAGGGGACAGGGAGGCGGCCGCGGACAGGGCGGCGGGGTGGTCCTCTGCTGGCGCTCAGAGCCGGGTCTGCGCCTCGGGGATGTAGATTTCGATGCTCTCCGCGCTCTCGGTGGCCGAGTTCTGGCGGACCGACGCGGCGCGCTTGGCGGCCATCAGGCGCTTGCGGGCCTCCTGGCGCTGCGAGCTCTCCAGCGAGCGCTCCCGGATCAGCGGCGCGGGGCCCTTCGCCGGCTTCTTTGGCACTGGAGGAGGGGCCCTTCGCTCCTGATCAAAGCAGAAGGTTCAGGACATTACACAGCTTCTCAGGACAAGCTTGGGAAAGACTGGGATAGGTCAGTAGTTCGAAAACACACACTCCTGCTTTTTTTTTTTTTTTTTTTTTTTTAAACTGAGGATGGTTAGTTCTGATCTGCATACTGTATATCTGATTCCTCCTTATTGTTCTGGCCTGGGTATTCAAAAGATGCAGGAAAAAAATAAAACAAAACAAACCCACTACCACCAACACATAGTCTCTTACGCTTAAAGCCCAGGGTAAAGCTGGATCGCAGAACTAGGTCTTTTCGTGGCAGGGGGTGGGCATTTAAAATGCACCCCTTCCCGAATGAGGGTGGCTCTGTCTGCTTACTCCAGACTCTTCCTGGTGCTAGGGATGGGCCAGGAGATCTCAACAACTACAGAATGATTTGGAACTCTAAGATGGATCTGTCTAAGGAGGCATCAGGTAGGAGCCGAGGTTTGAGAACAACCTCCTTTCCCTCTCCCTGCGCCTACCCAGCCTTGCTTTCCACCCATTCCTAAGTGGCCAGATGAGATTTAAGATTGTATTTTCCGGCTTCGATGGTGCCACTGGGGTAGTTAGACCCTTTGCACATCACATAGGAACACACAGCCATAGACTGTACAGGGTCACTGGGTGGGAAGACTATGTCATTTCCTACTCTGGGGGAGGATTTTTCCGGGATATCAATCAGTCGCTAGGGGCTTCAACATGCTTGTGGCAGCCCAGAAGACAATCCCAACTTGTTATCAAAGTTGAACACAGGACTGGAAAAGGCCATGCCTCCTATCAGCAGACTCTGAAACGGTATTTTCTAATGTACTGCAAAATTCAGTCACTGATGCCTTCATGATAACCGTCCAGGGGGAGGAAAGGCATCTAAACCACAAAGGATACTCTAGGAGAAAGGTGTTGAGCCTCCGTCTGTGCAAGGTCCTCACGAACCCTACATTTCCACTTAAGTTAAACGCTCTGCATCCTTATGAAACCACACAGGAAGTTTGTCGTGAAGGTACCTAGTACCCAACTTATACATGTAACAATTTCTTTGCATCACTTCTTTGGGATGTTTAAAATCTTCAATGTGGGATAACTGGTGGATATTTTTAAAAGTATGAATATTGGAAACTTTTTGGCCATTTTTCTTTCTTTGCACACTTTATTTTTTTTAAAAACAATAATATTAAAGAATCAGTAGGTGAGATATTAGATGGAGCAGTACTAAAATTCCAGCGTGTTTACACGTGTGTATACTTTTAAGACCAAATTGCCAGCAGATAGTTTTACACATAAAGAAAACTAGAAGAAGTACAATGTTTGGCTTCTCAACGTAGAAGCCACACACACATCAATGGTACTTCAAGCTTGGTTCTAAGCCCCCCAGTTGGATGGTCATAGAATTGGAGACGGTGGGTAGTGGTGACGACATTACCCTCCTTATAGACAGTGCTTTGGGACTGGGTTTGTCCTGGGTGCCTACTGACCCCATACATCTGGAAGCGATGGATGACAGTGGATTACTGTTGGCTCTTGATGGGTCAGGAGACCCAAAAGGGCAGGGCTCTCACTGCTCTGAGTGAATAGCCGTCTCTCCTTTTCAGAGGTATCTCTTGGAACTATTTGACTTTGGGTCATAGGAGAACAAAAGTTGTTTTAAAAAACCTCATACAGGGTAGATCAGCCTGGGAAGGCAGACATTCGATCCTTGTAGAAGCCTGGTGGAACCACAGTAATCAAATATGAAGTTATTATTGATTAATTAAAATAATTTAAGTCTTTATTTCTAAACTGTTGCATGAAGACCCCCCCTCCCAGGGAACAATATCTCCCCAGGCAAATCAATCAATGTTAGAAAAAAATCCCAACATTTAAGATGACAGTCAGCTTCATAGTGAGCATTTTAGACTGCAGTGTCAGTAACTTCTTTGTTACTGTGTTTATGATTGTCAGCCAGTTAGTTCTCAGGGTTTCCCTTGTTTCTCAGAAACACATCCTGAGGGTGTAAGGAAGTTGAATTCTTGCTCTATGGAACCATGCACTGAAGAGATCATTTATTTCAGGTTAGAAAGCAAAACCGAGGCAGTTCCTTCCAGTGTCTAAAGTGGTTTAGCTTAAAGTTAAACCAGAGAAGAAGATGAAGAGGAGGAGGAGGAGGAGGAGAAGGAGGAGGAGGAAGAGGAGAAAGGAAAAGAAAAAAGGAAGAAAAAGAAAAAATGAAGGAGGCAGAAGTAAATAAAAAAGATAAAGAAAAGCCACATTCCCACTTTCCAATTCACAAAGACAGGTTTTTTTTTTCTTCAAAAATATGCCTGACACACATTACAGATATAATATCCCAAGTGATTAGTATGTAAACATTGTCATTACAATGAAATGAATAGGATGCCAGCTCCATTTCACATTGTAAACAGCAGGACTGGATGCAGAGCCCTATTTAGACTGTCCGGTGTTTGTGCAGGTTTTTAAATGAACCATACAAAATCTACATTGTTCTACCTTCTTGTCAAGAGGATCCATCTGTTTCCAATTATTGGCCTTTAACTGATGAAGTTCATCAAATTTCATACTAATGTTTTCTATGGACAACTGCAGCATGTCCCAAAACCCCGCCAAATCCTGGGAAGTGGGTCTTGGATGAGCATTGGGATTCTGTACAAAAGAGAGAAAAATATTGATGCTTTAGAGGCAGCAAACAGGGCCAGAACAGCATTTTCAAACATTTCAAAGAACTTTAGGAGGCTGGGTTCCTTTTGGTTTTAGATAAGAGATAAAAAAGTGAGGCTACAAATGGTAATTGTATACATGCCCCATTCCAGTCTCTGCTTTTCAAAATGTCAAGGTTGTTAAAATTCCTCTGTCCTTAAAACAGAACAGTTGTTTCAGTTTGATTAGTGGGGAGAGCCTATAAACATTTGAAAAAAAATCCAGAATTATCTCTTACTGTATGCATTTTAAAACAATATATTTAAATGAAAAAATACTATCTTTGAAAAAAAATCACATGTAATTTCATGCCACACAGTTTGTTCAGAGAATAGATGAGGATTCTAGAATGAGATTAGTTTTAGGATTCTTGTTGAGTGAAATACTAGGGTACAGAATTGATGAGCAATAAGGTATTTTCAAAGTACTTTGGTAAGGCTTTTATGTTTCAAGAGACTGAGCCCAGAGTTTGTATACTTGAAGCCAATGATCAACCTTGGAGACATATACATAGCCCCTAAAACAATTACATGCTCAGTAATTGAGATGTTGCTGATACATATAATAAAGAACCATTTTATCATATGACTCATTGGAAATCAGCTAGTTTTAAACATAGCAAATGTCAGAAGACATTATCTTTACACATACATATGTGTGTTGGTAATGATTCCCTTTCTAGAATAGCAATTATTCTTCAGTGTTTAAGAACTGACATTTTCCCAGCCAGCGGTGGCACATGCCTTTAAATAACAGTACTCGGTAGGCAGAGGCAGGTGGATCTTTGAGTTCAAGGCCACTCTGGTGTACAGAGTGAGTTCTAGGATATCCAAAGCTACACAGTGAAACCCTGTCACAAAAAAAACAAGTCATCAACAACAACAAAAAAAAAACAACAAAAAATAATTTTAAAAAAATTTTAAAATTTTTAAAATTTTATGTGCATTGGTGTTTTGCCTGCATTTATGTCTGTATGAGGGTGTCAAATCACTTCGAGTTAGATTACAGACAGTTGTGAGCTGCCATGTGGGTGCTGGGAACCCAATCTGGGTCCTCTTTTTTTTTTTTTTTTTTTTTTAAGGATTTTTATTATGTATACAGTATTCTGCCTGTATGTCTGCCTGCAGGCCAGAAGAGGGCACAAGATCTCATTATAGATGGTTGTGAGCCACCATATGGTTGCTGGGAATTGAACTCAGGACCTCTAGAAGAGCAACCAGTGCTCTTAACCACTGAGCCATCTCTCCAGCCCCCAAAAACAATTAAAGAGTTACTTAAAAATTTTGGCCGGATGTTAGTGGTGTACACCTTTAATCCCAGCACTCAGGAGGCAGAGGCAGGCGGATCTCTGTGAGTTTGAGGCCAGCCTGGTCTTCAGAGCCAGTGCCAGGATAGGCTCCAAAGCTACACAGAGAAACCCTGTCTTGAAAAACAAAAACAAAAATAAAATAAAATAAAATAAAATAAAATGTTATTATCAACAGGGCATGCCTTTAATCCCAGGACTTTGGAGGCTAGGCAGGTCTGTGAACTGGAAGCCAGCCTGGTCTACATAGTGAATTCCAGGACAGCCAGAGCTACATAGTAAGACCTTGTCTGGAAAAAAAACCTCCAACCCTCACCCCCCAACAAACAAACACACAAACAAAAATCATTATCTTTTGTGCCATACCTGTGTGTGTGTGTGTGTGTGTGTGTGTATGTTTATGTATGTACATATGTATATATATATGTGTGTGTGTGGTGTGTGTGTATGTGGTGTGTGTGTGTGTGTGTGTGTGTGTGTGTGTGTGTGTGTGTGTGTGTACTACAAAATGTGTGTGGAGGTCAAAGGACAACTTTATGGAGTTGGTTCTCCTCTTCCACCTTTGTGTGGATTCCAGGAATTTAACTGGGGTCATGGGGTTTGAGAAGTCAGTACCTTTAACCCACTGAATCCAGCTGAGAATTGATTTTTGTTCATTTGTTTGCTTAGGAGCTTGCTGTGTAATTTATGCTGGCCTAGAAATCTCCAGCCTCCTACCTTGGTCTCCTGAGTGGGAAAACTGTAAGAGCCAGTTATCACACCTGGCTCAGGAGTTGACTTTCTTTGTCTCTGTAATCTGTTATCACTGTCATTGCCAAAGGCCATCTGCAAAAGCAGCTGAAGGCATTGAGGTCAGACAGCCAGAGTCTCCCTCCCCTCCACCGGTCAGGGGTTTCTGGCTGGTGTCATTTCTCGTTATTTCTTAGTATTATAAACAACTATAAACCCCACATCCTGTGATAACTGAGGCCATCTTGGACTTTTAAAATTAACCCCAAGAAAAATAGTACCACAGAATTTAAGGTTGTTGACCATCTAATTGTATCAAGGTTGGGAACACATTTACATCTGAGGATGACTGACCTCTTTCAAAGCAAATGCAAATAAAGATGCATTGATGTGTGCAGAGTTCTGAAACTATTCTTGGCTGTGAGATTCTTTGGAATAAATGAATTTTAGGGTTTTTAAGTGCTTGGTTCAATATTAAAATCTATTCTAGGGATAGGGAGTGAGTGTGGTTTTAGCGGTCCATGCTCAAGGCCTTGGGCTCAAAACAAACCAAAATAGAACAAATATAGCAAAACATAAAAAGGATTATAATGATACTTGAATGAACAAAAGGGGTTCTTTGTAATATTTTCACATAGTAAACAGCAACTAGAACAAAAGCCCTTCAAGGGGTGTGGTAGCAAACACCAATTATCCTATCACTTAAGTAAGCTGAAACAGAAACATCTCAAGTTTGAGACTACATGGCAAACAACAAAAGTCCAGCAGGGATAAAAACAACAAACAAACCCTCAACATTCAGTATGGATAGTAGATTTGACAAAGCACTTCTCAATAGCTTATGATTTCTCAACATATTTAGCCTTATCCATAATGGAAAACTAAACGGTTCATATTTTGGAGTTCAGTGACATTACCTGGGTCATGAGCTTTTTACCATTGTATTATTTTAGCACCAATGAGAGAAACAGTACAGAGTGTCTCTTATTTGATACCCTTGGGACCAGATGTTGAGGTGTTGGAGTTCATAGGATTTGGAAATGTTTGCTTCTCAATATAGAGATTACCCGGGAGCTAGAATACTTAATGTGTGAAGGTTCATGTATATGTCACATACACCTTGTACACACAGCCTGAAGGTATTGTATACATTTTTAGTGTGCCTGTATTTTGACTGTGACATGTTGTAGGAGGTCAGATGTATATCTGCCTTGTATCAATGCCTTGGTGTCCCCAAAGTTTTAGATTTCAAAGGATTTCTGATTTTGGTCTTTTTGGGGTTTGGGCATGGTCGACCTACAGTTCAGTAGCCCAAGCAGTTCCTTAAATATGCTTAGCTCTATATCATGGGCAAGGTCTTGCCCCAAAGGAATCTCTCTGCCCTGTGTTGTCAAAAAGACAAATGAGGAAACAAAGAGGGTAAGCGCCAGCCATTCTCTTACCCAGCGGTTGTAGGACAGCATGAGTCATATGGCAGTGCAGCTGAATCTAAACCAGATCATCTCTGAGATTAGAGGGAGCGTTGGGGGATGGGGGGTCCCCCGGTTTAGTTATGCTGGGCAAAAACAAATATCATTCACTCTAAGCTTGAGAATCTACTCTGGGACAAATATGTTTTCAAACTGCTTTCTCTTTTTTCCCTCTCAAAGGAAGAGGAACTAAAGAAAGACCAGCTGCACCTGGCTCTGACCAGCCCTACAGTCACTTTTTAAAAACACACACACATTTATTTATCGTGTGAATGTGCTGGGGGTGGTGGTGGCAGGACAAGTAAGTGGAGGTCAGATGCCAGCTTGTAGGAGCTGGTGCTCTCTTTCCATCTTATGGGTACCAGGGATCAAACTTGGGTCATCAGACTTGGCAGCAAGCTCCTTCACCTTCTGAGCCATCTTGCTGCCCCTCAGAGTCACTTTCATACAGCTGTAGTGCTAAGTGGAGCTACCACCAGGTCACACTGTTTCCTGGGATGACTCCTTTCTGCAAAGGTGAGGGACAGAATTCAAATCCTGCCTGGGATTTATGGGGATGGAGCCTGAACAGACAAGGGTTTGATTCTTGGCTTTGCTTTTTACCATAGGCTGGTAGCTAAGTTTCTTAACTTTTTATGCTTATTTAGCCCATCTATAAAGCATAAAAATAATTAATGCCACTAGTAACTCCAAATGACCATTCTGAGGAGCTACCCAGGGCATCTGGTCACATTTGGTGCTGTATTTGCTCTTTCAGAGGCCTGGCTTGGGCAGTACCAATTATCTTCCTGTTGCTGTGGTGTTACCATAGACAGGGACATTCTCTAGTGGTCATAGTTGCCACTCTGAGGAATGGTGAGATGTTAAAAGCTGGCTTTCATGAACTTGACAATTTCCAGAAATCTGTACACATTAAGAAGAAAAAAAAAGGTACCTGCAATTTCATCTTTAAAGTTTGCACAATACTGTACACTTGGGAACTTACTCATTAATTCTCTGTTTTTACATTTATTTGGTGTGAGTATGAGTGGGTGAGAATGGGGTTGGTGCACATGCCACAGTGTGTGGTGTGGTGTGGTGTGGTATGTATGTGTATAAGAACAGTTTTGGGAGTTGGTCCTCTTGTGAGTCTGCCATGTGAGTTCTTGTCTGCAAGGCCCTTTACCCAGAAGCCATCTTGCCAGCTCTGGCTTAGATTCCTTTGAGGAGAAAATGCAGTTCCTAGGACACAGAGTTAAAACTCTAAAGCCTTATCTGGGCCATTTAGATGTCAATCATGTTTTCACTTTCCACACATCAAATAAGTTGCTTTTCCTTTGCTTTGTTTTGGTGTGAGCCTGGCCAACAACAGTTGTGTTTGTAGAGTCACCCTTGGAGGATAGAGGCCTCTCTGAAAGAGGCTCTCGACCTTTACTTCATCATCAAATTTGCAAATGCTATTGCTGTTGTTGCTGGTTTGGGTTTTCCTTCCTTTGTTTTTGCATGACAGAGGTAGATGGAACACTCACTTGCCTCAGGGCGATACGCTCAACCTCTGGCCTTTGAGTTAAAACAAAACTCCAATCAGACACAGTCCCTGATGGCCATTTTAGAAAGAGAGTCATGAGCCAAAATAGTTACCTTTGTAATAGTATTCAGGAAAACACCAGTTGCTCCATGTTTTGGCAAGATTAAAAAAATCAAAAAGCATCTTACAAAATCTAGGAACATGGAAAATTTTCAGTACAAAAAAAAATCAGGAAATGGAGTTTTTAATTTAATTTTGCCCCTAAGATTATGTAAGTGTCAAAGTGGGGTTTTTGTTTGTTTATTTAATGAAAATCAGGAAGCCAGATTCTTCTGTTAAAAGACTCCAATAAGCCTTGACTTGACTTGGTGCAAACTGAGTTTTTGCTTTGGCTGGGCCAGTCTTGAGGACAAGGTCTCTCTGGGCTGTGTTAGCAAGGAGTCACAGAGATGCGAATGGTACCTACCAGGTTCTCCTCACACAGTTCTCTGAACTGGTAGAATTTCTGCGCCATGAGAAGTTGGGCGCTGCCAACTGCAGTTCGGATTTTCCCTAGAACTGAAAAGAGCAGACACGGAAGTTTACATGATAACTTAATGTTAAGACTAAGTTTGGTAAATAAAGCAAAGAGCAAGTTATGGTGTCACAGTTTGGGAAAAACAGCACACACTGTGTGCCCACACCCACCCGGGTCCATGAAACCCTCGGCTACTGGGTTCAAGCACTAAGTCAACTTGGAAAAGCACATGTTTATCGCTCTGGTTTCTTGGGAGAACTGGAGTTTTCCCGCCACAGCACTGTGTTGTCCACAAAGAGAGACAAATAGCGTTCCTTTCACGGTCCAGACAAGTGTCACACGAGTCTGCGATCCTGATCTGCTGGCTTGCTTTTCTAATTCGGATTCAAATGCAAGAAAAGCAATACTAGCTTGCTAGGTGGGAAGGAATCTGCTAGGGGAAGAATCTCCTAATCACCCTAACCGGTCCCTAATCCAGCATTTTCCAGTCACTTTCGTTCTCTGACAAGTGAATTGGCGAGGGAGTGATGGGATTCAGCCTTTGCCCAGGGCACACCAGCTTCCACTTTGCTGTCCCCTTTCGTATTAACATCGGTTTGGTGTCGAGTCTTGGCCCGCTGCAAGTAACTGCCTCTGAGGGCCTCTGCAGAGGCCCAGGTCTGAGTGTCCCCAAACCTCCCCCAGCACTCCCAGCCCTTGCAGCTGCCCCTCCTGGAGCTCTGCCATGCAGCAAACTGCCCTCCTGTCCCTGAGTGGACAGAAACCTCCCACAAACGGAGCCTAGAGAGAGCCCAGACCCCCTGAGGCTTGGCTAGGCTAGGTTGGGGATTTTGCCTGGAAGAGATAGTATAGGATTCAAGCAATCTCACTGTTGGCTTCAATCTAAAGATTCACACTCCCTTTTCTCTATCACAAGGTCAGGAGAAAACAAAGCAAGGGGGCATTGCCCAGGGCTTTTTAGTAATTTCCTGTACTGGATTCAAAATGCCAGGCCAGACCCAAATTCGAGATGCATGTTCTTCCTAGGTTTTGTTCAAATATTTCCGCATCCTCACTGGTAAGTCAGAGCACTTCTATGTTTATATGTTCCCAGTCATGCCAGGCTGCTTGGGGACACACATTTGTAGCCTCTGTCAAGTCATAGTGTCTCCCTGACTTGCAGCTCCAAGCTCTGCTTTTAAAGTCCTTCCAGAACTTGATGTCTTCCTCTTTCACTGGAAAATCAGTTGAATGAGGTTTCTCCCTTTTTATTTTTAACTATTATTATTATTATTATTTTATACAGGGTCTCGCTACATAGCCTGGCTCTCCTGGAACTCACTATGTAGACCAGGCTGCTCTTACACTCACAGAGATCCACTTGCCTCTATCTCCTTGAGGTACTGCAGTGGACAAGTCAAAACTGTGAGCCAAGAGGTCTCAATCATATCTGAATGCCTGTACCATGTCAGAGGACATAAAAGGAGCACCCCATGCTGGGCGTTGGTGGCGCATGCCTTTAACCCCAGCCCTCGGGAGGCAGAGGCAGGCGGATCTCTGTGAGTTCGAGGCCCGCCTGGGCTACAGAGCAAGCGCCAGGATAGGCTCCAAAGCTACACAGAGAAACCCTGTCTCGAAAAAACCAAAATGAATAAATAAGATAAAATAAAATAAAATAAAATAAAATAGGAGCACCTCAATTGGGTGACCTCCTATTTACAATGTAGACAGGTATGAATCTGGATTTCTGATTCACTTTGTGTTTCCCACACCACACCTGGTCGGAAAGTGCCACACACTCCTTGAAAAACAAACACCAGTGGAAGCAAGAAGAAAAAGCAAAAGGTGGCAAGTCCATTATGCAAGGAGAATCGTAAGAAAGATACATCTTGCTAAACATTTGGACTCTGCTCTGTAATGCCCCAGGTCAAAACTCAGTGGGGTAGGAGGCGAAACACTTCTGTTGGGGATGCAGTTAATCAAATGAAACTCTGGAAAGTTCTGGGGCAGGCCTACACTTAGGGCGTCTTTCCAGGGTCACTCTTGAACTCAGTATTGTTTCACAGCAAGGTGGTGACTAGCCTTGAAGCAACTAGCCTGGCCCTCGAGGCCAAAGCCAAGGCCAAAAAAGGGGCAGAGGAGCCTGACAGGACTTGTGGAATCTAGTTACAGGGCAGGGACGGGCCTTGTGGGCTCTGTGTATTCATTCACGCTGCCAGCGAATATTAGTGAGGGTACAGCGTGGCGCGCATGACACTAACGGTATATGACAGTGGTTAGCAGGACAAGGTCCCTGCCTTCTTGGGCTTTGCGTCCTGGTAGAGAGCACAGGGGAAGGGGGGCAGTCCCCTTCCGTGGAGTTAGACAACACAGCGTTCTTCCTCTGTCTCCTAGGAAACAGAATGCAAATGAGCAACAAACACACTCTGGGGTCTCAGCTACAACATGGGAACAGGCTGTCTTGACAGCCACGATTTTATAATGCCACTGCTTTTTATTTAGTTATTTTATTTACCTCGTTAAGTCTGTGCACATCACTTATTGTGTGTGTGCACACACATGAGTACCACACTTACTGTGTGTATGTGTGTGTGCACACACATGTGTACCACGATGCGTGTGTAGGGTTCAGAGGACAGCCTGCAGGAGTGTGTGCTCTCTCTCTAGGTGGTAAAAGTCTTGTAGGTCCCGAGGACTGAGTTCAGGCCATTAGGCTGGGTAGCAGGCTCCTTGAGCCATCTGCTGAGCCATCTCACTGGCTCCCTCTTTTTATTTATTTATTAATTTTTTGCCACCATTTTTAAATTTGGAAACAAAATACTTTCAAGGACCCCGATAATTTTCCATTCAAAGAAATTGAGTATTAATATATATATGCTTTCCCCAAAGGAACCAATTTTCCCCTACAGGGTCAAGTGTAGCTCCTTCCTTCCTGACCGCTCTCCTCCTTGCCTAGAAGAAAGCATTAGAATAGAGATAAAGTAGAGAGGGACTCTTCTATCATATTACAGATGTCACTGAGGTACCCTCTGGAAAGATAAGAACTAAGAGCCCTTTAAGCTACTCTCTCTCTCTCTCTCTCTCTCTCTCTCTCTCTCTCTCTCTCTCTCACACACACACACACACACACACACACACACACACACACACATAGAGTTTCTTTTCCACCTAGTCCCACCACCCTTCGGTCCCAAAGAAACACACAAAGACTTATATTAATTATAAGTTGCTTGGCCAGTGGCTCAGGCTTCTTATTGGATAGCTCTCTCTTAACTATTAGCTCATATTCATTAATCTATGTATTTCCACATGGTCTTGGGCTTACTGGTGATGCCCGGTCCCCTTTCTTCCTTGGCAGCTACATGGTGTCTCCCTGTTGACTCCTTTGAGATTCCTCTCTCTCTCCCTCTTCCCAGCATTCCTAGTCTGGCAGCCCCACTTATACTTCCTGCCTGGCTACTGGCCAATCAGTGTTTTAGTCATCAACCGATAAGAGAAACATATTCTAACGAACAGCATACAGAAGGCACGCCCCCCCCACACTTTTTTTCAGAGAGTGTTTCTCTATGCATCCCTGTCTCTCCTGGAACTCGCTCTGTAGACCAGGCTGGCCTCAAACTCACAGAGATCCACCTGCCATTGACTTCCGAGTATTGGGATTAAGGGCTTGTGTCACTCTTTCTTGGCTTGTTCCGGTTTTAAAAATTGATTTTTATTGTCTGTGCATGTGTGTGCCTGGATGTACACATGTGTATCATGTGTGTATAGGGGGCCCATAGAGGACAGAATAGGGTATCAGATCCATTTTAACTACAGTTATAGGGGATTGTGAGTTCCCTAATGTGAGTGTTGGGACTAGAACTTGGGTCTTGTGCAAGAGCAGCCAGTGCGATTAACCACTGAGCTGTCTCTCCAGCCCTTGTTTCTTTTCCTTCTTTCCTTTTCTCCTTTTCTTTCTTTCTTTTTTGCTTGTTTGTTTCTTGTTTTTGGAGACAGGTTCTGTTTTTGTAGTCCTGGTGTCCTGAAGCTCACTCTGTATACCAGGCTGGCTTTGAACTCAGCGAGATCCCCCTGCCTCTGCCTCCTGAATGTTAGGATTAAAGGCGTGGCGCCGCATGCCTAACTCCGTGTTTTGTTTTTTGAGGTAGGGTCTCTCCTTCCATTCTGTTCTTTGATTCACTCTATGAATTTGCCTTATTTATTTTATTATTGATTTATTTAGAACCAGGGTCTTACTGCATAGCCCAGGTTGGCCTCAACTTCCCTAAGTCAATCTATCCTCCCTACATCAGGCTCCAGAGTATCTGGGATTCCAGTTGTGTTTCCGTGCACCAGCTGAATTTCCCTCCATAAAGTATTTATCTTCCCTGACTGGCTTATTTCAGTTAACGCAGGGTCCTCCGAGTTACCCATGTTGTCACACAGGGTCTTCTTCTTCTTTTTAAGGCTCGGTAACATTCCATGGTATCTATGCATAGCACTTAAAAATCTGTGGAGTGTGATTTCTCTTGATTATCAACACTTTCTAGAACCAGGTGTGGCAGCACGTCCTCAGGGGGGCTGAGGCAGGAGGATTCTGAGTTCAGGACTAAGCCAAGCTGCTACTTAGTGAGACCTTGTCCCAAAACAGCAAAGCAAAGTCAAACCAAATATTGACTTTCTAGCCAGTGCCACTGGACAATAGGACAGGGGTCTAAGGAGCTACCATGGGAATCTGAAGATGAGAAGAGAAAAGACCCAGACACAGTGGCTGAGCGCAAGGTCATGTCCGCTGTGAAGAAAGTAGAGGGTCTGGGGCTAACTGCACAGAGATGGTTAGAGTAAATTACAAGCCCCATGTTTTTCTTTTAAGATTATATGTCATAATGAGAAGCAGAGAACGACTTCTGTGGGGAGGGGCGTCGATGCAAACTATGCTTTGAAATCCGGGGCTATATTGAATTAAAGACCGAGACATTTAAAAAAGACCGACTCTCCTCTTTTCCCGCTTGCCTGCGTGGGATATGGTTTTTATTTTGGGAACATAGAGATGGTAGAGAAAGACACAGGGGTGAATGAACAA